CATGTCAGATTGACCTTATTTATCTGACGTGTTACAAGGCTTGGTAGGTTGTGTGAATGCTGTGGATATAGTGTATCTTGATTTCAGCAAGGCTTTTCACAATTTCTCCTATGTTATTCTTCTGATATAACAGCTGATAAGACATGGGTTAAACAATGATATTTTTGTGGATCTGTACATGGATTGATCTACTGCATCCAACAAGTGCTTTCTTATCATTCTGGACAGAAGGAATGAGTTGGTTGCCACAGGGTCTTGTCTTGCACCTGGTGTAGTTCCTTAATGAAGGAATAGAGGTGATGCTGATCAAATTTGTGGATGACATGTTATCTTTCATTAGCTAACCCTTCATTAGCCAGATCAATATTCAAAATTACCTTAACAGAACGGAGAACTGGGCCAAAATGGCAGAGAAAATGTAATGTTCTTCATTTAGGCAGGAAAAATCAGATACAGAAATGCAGTGGTGCCTCGCAAGACAAATGCCTTGCAAGACAAATGCCTCGCAAGACCAAAAACTCGCAAGATGAATGGTTTTGGCGATGGGGTTGATGACTCGCAAGACGAATGTTCCTATGACCGTGCTTCGCAAAACGAATGTTTTCTGTTTTTTGTTCCCGCCTCATGTTTGCTGATTTTAAAATGTTTTTCTATGACGTTTAAAAAGTTAAAGTTTTTGTATTATAATTTTCGAAATCAATGCGTTCCTATGGAAAATTTTGCCTCGACTTACGAACTTTTCGACGTACGAATGTTGTTCCAATACAGATTAAGTTTGTAAGTCGAGGTACCACTGTACTATATCTGTATTACAGATACAGCAGCAGGCTTAGGTGAGTTGAGGCATGTCCCACTGCACACCACTCACGTGACACGGTGGGCAATAGGAAGTGCCTACTTGTACTTCATCACTTGCAGCAATTTGCTGCTGAAAGTTAATTCCATTCACACTACATTAGCAGAAGATACACAATATGATTCTGGACATTGATGACTAATCTTGTCAGCCAGCCAAATATGTTCACTTATGCTGATGCCTAGATTATGTTCAGCAGAGCTAATGATGAGAAATATAAAATCACTTCTTCAACTCTGAGATTTTTCAAAGGTAATATTTTTCAAATTTGAAAACAGCTGCTTTGGAGTATTATGGAGACCTGCAGCCAAAAATGTGAGTGATCATTTCAGATCAGTTATGCATGTGCACTCATATACACACATATACACATGCATGCTTTCTAGGTTCTCTCTCTCTCTCTCTCTTTATTTCTATTTTCCTTTCCCATACATGCTATTCCAGAAATGGGAAAAGCTAGCTTGTTGTACTAAAATTCCCAGCTTCTCATGTCCAGCAGAATGGCTACTGTTCCCCATTCTCGTTTTTCTCATCTCCCTAGGCTCTCCCTCTTCCTCATCTCTCCCACTCTTGTGGCCTCTCATCTTCTCAGTCTGCAACCTTCTTCCTTCTGCTTCTTCCACTCTTCCTTGTCTGACACATAACAGTTAAGCGGCTGAGACTTTCCCTGTCCTCTCATCACTTTGCAAGAAAAGCTTAACCGACTTCATCTCTGCATGTCAGGCTGATGGAACAAGGCCAGTGATATGGGGACAACCATAAATTCATGATGCCTAACAAAAATAGTATGGACTTGCAAGCTTCTGAAAATTATATGCCAAAAAAGTAATTACATAAATGCATCTAAATATTAGGTAAATAAGAGCATCTTTTTGAGGCTCTTAACTAACCCCAGAGCTCTTTGGGAGGAATTCTACAATGGGATTTAAAAAGAGGGAAAACTCTGAACCTTGGCAGGTTGGCTCCAGGGAACTCCATTGTCCTGATTTTTCACATACAGTGGTATCTGCTCCACTGATCTGAAAGCCTTCTGCGCATGTAAACTTGCAGCTGGACTGGTACTGAAACTCTCCATGGATGTGAGAGCAACTGAAGTTTCCATGGGTAGGAAAATTTAATGGCTTGCATTGGACAGCTAAGGAAGAGAAAAGAAAGATGTGAATTAGGTTTGGATATGCTATATGTATCTATTAGAAAATCAATACTCTGTCCAAGAAGAACATGAACTAAAGATGACCTACCAGCTCATTGGTATAGATGGAAAAATGTGTCAATTCCCTTTTCTTTTAGTTTCCCGGAAAGTTTGTGTTGTCTTATTTTGCTGTTTTTGTACTGATTAACTGTTTATAATTTTATTGTCTTTACTTGGCTAATATTGTTTTAAAGTCCACAAAAAAGTTGTATGGCATTCTGTGCATTTCATGTATGCATTTATATATTTCTATGCAATTTTGCCTGATATACAATTTCCAGACACCTCTTTCTAGTGCAATATGTGGATCATTTTCATTATATGCTTATTTACGTATACATATTTATGTACACATTCGCCTTGTATACCCACTTTTGACTTATCTTTTGATTGGAGAACCGCATTTAAAAGTTGTTGTGCTTCTGTGCATATCAGTCTACAAAGTGCAACTAAGGCTGCAACTACATGGTCAAATACTGTGGGATTTGTTCCACTTATTAAACAGGTGAATTCATAGTATTTTTTTTTACTGACCACATGATGCAAAGACTGATTCTTATTAGTCCATTCCTTTTTGCTCCCTACGTGACTATTTTTAAGCTGGAAAGATTCAAACAGGCTTTCCCTCATGTGGTTAGTTGTGATACATTCTTGTGAAGATGTGGAGGGTTGAAAGTGGTGTTTCAGTGATGTAGCCAATTGGGGCATTATGTCCAGTACCAGGGGAACACACTCTCACATTCTTTCCTTCCCTCAAATGTCCTTGGATTTTTTAAAAATTAAATTTCTTACATATATGAAATTAGCATTAGAACTAATTTCTGTATTTACATCCATAAAAGGATGGGCAGAGGTGGGACCAGAGGAAGGAAAGATCAATAAATGAGGACCAGAGGAAGAAAGGAAAGAAGGCGGCTGGAATATGAATCACATAGCATCCAGTATGAACAGGAAATCCTAGATCAATCTGCAGCCCCTGTCATGACTAGTGGTCTGTGAAATTACTGCTTTCAAATGTACTGTATGCTGTGGATCAAATTACAGCAAAGTGTAGTCATACTCTTAGATAAGTCACATTAATGTGCAAACTCTGGGGGGGGAATCCCCTCCATTCCTTCTTAGTTTCCATTGGGATACATCTCCTGTGAAGTGTGACAAATTCCTCATTTTTAAGAACAACCTTTACTTCAGAATAGGCCAATGCCAAGAGCACAGTGAAACAATAATAGTATTAAACTTAGCTTTTGGACTATAGCAATTGTCCCACTGTGTCAGTTTCTGCCACTAGTCATGACAGCACATACCTTCAACATACCTATGCACTGTGGTGTTTCTGCTGTCCAGTTTCCAGAGGGCAAGCACTGCAAGGTGGCTGGGCCACTCAGTTGAAATCCATAATCACAGCTGAAGCCACAGTTCGATCGGTAACTGAACTTCCCCAGAGGATGACTACAGTTCAAGACTAGTGGTCCATGGACAGCATCCAGGTCCCTGCATTTTGCAACTAAATTCAGGGGGGAAATGGACTAAGTTATTCCACTGTCTTACAAACATATTTTTAAGCCCTCCTCTGAACAAAAGTGCTCAGATTCTTTACTCAAGAAGATTTGTGAGGTTTTTTTCTCACCTCCTAGAATGCTTCCTTTTGTGACTGATCTAATAGAATTTAAACAGAGAATTCCTCTGAAATCTGGTTTTTCAAACATGAAAGACTTCATAGATCATGCCTCTCCAACACTAGTATGTTTTGTGGGTTTTTTTTAAAAAAGAAAAGAAATACAAAACAAAAAAATTATCTAAGGGCTCGTTTATATTAAAGCAATCATTCTGAATATGTGTCAGTATAAATGTGTACAGTATATCAACATGTGGTGTTTGAATCGCAATTTGTATTCCATTGAAACAAATGTTTAATCTGGTGTTTTTGAAGGCACACCCTTGCCAGATACCTGTGCTGTCTCTCCAACCCAGAAAAGCGGGAAGAAGATTTGGCTGAGCAAGCAAATGGCAGGGGGCTCCTGCAGGCTGCTTCTCTCCCACTCATGGACAGAGGCATTAACATAGAGGGGATCAATTTGAATGATTTGATCTGTGTTAAAATAAATTGACCTCTGGCAGAGGAGTAAAAAAACGTACTGCATTGCTGCTCCAACGAACACAATTTCCCATCAAATTAATCTGCTCTTATACTTGTGTGTTCACCCATTTTTACAGCAATTCAAAGGAGTCTAACCACAAATTAAACAGGGGTTTTCTAAGCAAAGGGGCCACCTTCTTATAATATAAAGAATACAAAACAAAACTTTCAAAAAGTGCACACACCAACAAAAACAACATAACCTATTCAAGTACACAACACTGCATCACTCCTATGGGACCATTTGGAGATATGTTGAATTAATTGTTCCAATTACAAGCCCCATTCCACTTCCAAAACTGTGCTGATAGCAGGTTTTCTGTTCTAATGAAAGTCTATCTGTAGTATCTGTTTCTGCACGAAACACTGCAGCTGGGAGAAGAACAGCCAGAGTGGAAGAAGGATAACATTTCTGACAGCCATGATTTTCAGTAATTAAAGATTTCATGCTCTGATGGCTAACTGATGATCAATGGCATTATATGGGAACTACAGGAGCCACAGAACAGGAGTGGGATGTGTTTAATTTCTGAATAATGATCCCTGCTGATGATATGATCAGTCTTCTTTAGGCACAGTTTCACCAATAATATTTTAGGCACAGAACTGAGGAAAATTCCATGCTACTATAAACAGATGAATTTATCACTTGAGAGAGGACTCTTTCTAAAAATGTGCTAAGAGTGTCATTTTGTTTGACTCTAAGTAGAGTGTTGATGCAAACCAAATTTGTACATATAACTCTTATACAAAAGAGATCTTAGTTAAATTGATACCATGGCACGGAGGCAGAACAGTTTTAGTCCTTTGCTGCCACTGTGGAAGTGCCCTCTCTTCAATGCTTGCAATTCACAATGGAAGAAAAACTCTGAGTAATCCCAAAGAGACTCACCATGTTCACACCGAGGCCCAAAAAAGCCCGGATAACACTGACAGGTGTAGTTTCCAATGGTTTCCACACACTCACTCCGCTCATTGCAAGAGGAGGGATGACAAGAAGCTGTAAACACATTAGGACTGGATTAGAGGCAGGCTATTTCCATTCCAAAACCTGTAAATTTAGATCAACTCAAATTCTTCTAGTGATTAGATATGGGAGTATTCCTATATAAATACTAATATCCCCGCACAGGTGGAGATAACAAGGGTCCAGCTCCATGGGGCCAGACGGTCAACTCACCGATCTGCTAATGCTGCGGGGTCTGTGCTCCCATCCTATCACTCCAGATATTGTGATCGGAGAGCCTTTCTTCGACCTGGGAGAGAGGCTTGTCATCCCACTTTCTGCCAGAAGTGGCTAGCTGATCAGATCACAATCAGTGATAGAATGGGCCTGCTGACCCTCCACCATTAGCGGATCAGTGAGTGGACCATCTGGTTATCTCCACCTGTGAAGAGGTTTTCGTATATGAATAGGAATACCCCCACCTCTAGTTGTGATCATTACATCTGAGCTACCAAATGGACCCAACATAATATGCCTTTTTGATTGAAGTTAATATGTCACGTTGAGAGGTGAGAGGAACATGGTGGCACTGCGGGTTAAACCTCAGAAGCCTCTGTGCAGCAATGTCAGAAGACCAGCAGTCGTAAGATCGAATCCACGTGATGGGGTGAGCTCCCATCACTTGTCCCAGCTCCTGCCAACCTAGC